TATTTATTTCATTTCTTATTATTTTCATTTTCCTACAATATATAATTATATAAAATTGACATAATAATGATGATTTATAAATATTTATCATATTTTATTCACCATAAAAAATACTAAATAACAAAAGAATAACTTCATAAATAAAATACATTGAAATTAATATGAAATGATTATGTTAATAATCATTTAAAAGAATTAATTAAAAGAATAAATAAATACATAATATGAAAGAGAGACGATTATGAAAGAAGATAGAAAAAGATCAAAATAGAAATATATTTTAGAGAGAATTACCGTATAATATAAGATAATAAAAGTGTAACTAAAAATAAGAGATGAATAATAAAAACGAAGTATTGATTGATTAAAACTAAATAAATGTTCAAGTACCAGAAAGATGTGATAGTATCAACTTCTTGAAGAAAAAGAGTGTAGGTGTTTATATTATTCGTTATAAACCCTTTAAAAAAATAAATAAATTATTAAATAACAAAAACTCTTTTTATTTCTTACAAAGAAATAAAATTATTTATTCATTGTATTTTTGTTTTATTAAACTAACTTTCTTCGACTCTCTTGTTCCTTACTTTAACTTCTGTATTATCTAATCTTTTTGAAGTTATATACATGTTTTGTTAAGGAATTTAAAACAAAACACCATTTAAGAAAAAGGAAAAGTATTTAAAATAATAAATTCTACAATTAAAATTTATATCCTTTTCATTATTCGTTAAAATAAAATACATAAAAAGACTTTATAGAATTATTGATGAAACAAAACACCAATTTACCTTCTAGTCCATACCTGATTTGGTACGAATATGACTATATAAAAACTAATTATGAATCTAATAAACATAATATTATAATGTTGTTTGTCTTGATTGTATTTTCATGCATTTGCTCAGCTTATACCTATGATGAAAATGATTTCTTATCTTTTGACGATTTTCTTGATGAAATTGATGATATAACTGATACTACTGCTAACACAGGTAACCAACAACTTAAAGTTGGTGCAATACCTACAACTACACCTAATAAAGTTTCTAATACCACTGATTCTGGAAATGCTACTAGTACAAAAGTAGGTGTTACTAGTAATAGTAATAAAAAATCACTCAGTGAACAGGTAAAGCAAGCACTGGATAAAGCAAAAGGTGCTAATATAAATGCTAAAAAGAGTAAAGCACCTAAACAACCACCTTTAGGTAGTACTAAGAAACCTGTCAATAAGAAAAATCCAAAAGCTACTCAGACAACTAAAAAATAATTAAATAACATACCAAAAAGGAAGGAACAGTATTAACTTAGTGATTCACATCAAGCTCACTTTTATTTATAATTTGGTACTTTTTAAAAATTGAAAATGAAACAAAAATAGAGTAGTTGAAAATGACTTGTTGAAGTAATAACCATTTTAAATCCAAAAATACCTTTTCATAAACACTGTATAATTATCATAAATAAGAATAAACAAAACTATCTTAACATTTTTTAATTTAATACTCAATAATAAATTTCATTTTTTGTCAAATTAACTTAAAAAATGAATTTGTTATCAAGAATTACTTCATGCAAATTGGGAAGTTAATTTTTTAACGAATCGAAATCATTTTTACATAAACAAATAATAATAATTTTTTGTTAATTATAACAATTAAGTTTATATCCTTTTTCACTTTACAAAGACAAAATATGACATTCAATTTACACCATCAACACTTAAGCTCAAAAACCCATTGAGTACCTTCTTTAGAGTGTTTGACTATTCAGTTATTATTAAAACTAATTCAATCTTTTTAATTGAATAAACTCCTTTTGCTTTATTCATAACTTTTGTAAAATAATGTTGATAATAGCTTTAGACTATATTCCATTGTCTACTAAATCATTAACAACCAAAATAACACACCACACAACTTTTTATACTTAATTCTTTTGTATTTTTCTTGGATTAGTTAATTTAAAAGAATTTTCTCTTTAAATAAAAAAGAACATAATTTTAATTAACTCTTTTAACACACCTTTGTTTATTACTATTCATCTTTTACTCAATAAATCGCATTACTTTCATGTTATCACACTTTTATAGATTTTGTAAGACATGTTTTTCTAAAAATCTGTTTTCTAATAAAGTCTGTTTAGAAGAATATTCTTAATACTGATGACAAGGGTATTGGAAGTGTTAGCAAAATGATGCTCAATTTAAGAGTCAGACATTTCATAATTGATTTTTTATAAAATAGCTTTAATGTCAGTTAATAAATAATTAATACAAACAGAATATCAATATATTCTAAAATATGACAACAACAAATTTCTTTGTTATGTAAATTTAAGATGAAAGAGAGTGATTATAAGCATTATTTGCTATTGATTAAATACATGAATGATTTATAATAAAAAGTTTCTTTTGATAAATTCTTTTTAAGTAATTCATTTGTTAATTGAAATAGAAAATTTTTGATTCGATAAACGAACGTTTCAAATACAACTTGAATGTTTTTGAGACTTATTGAGTGAATATACTTTTACTTTTATTAATTGAAGAAGCTAAAAAATATCAAAAAAATTTTTGAAAGAAAAAAAAGGGTTTTATAAAATAAACAAATAAACAGCTTTTTGAAATATTTAATTAAAAAAAATATAAAAATAACTAAAAAATGAAAAGAAAACTCAAAAATCAGTTATATTATGCAACCATATCCAGGTATGGAATACCCATTTATGAATATGAACGCCGCACCATTTTATACAGGATTTCCAATGCAACGATTTCCTCAAATGCCAATAATGCCACCCAATAGACAATTTCCACCGTACGTAATTCCAGAACCAAATTACCAAAACAGTTATTTTACTGATGTGTATCAAAACAATTTACAAGAAGAAATGATGAATATTAGTGAATTAATTGATAATTATCCATATGTTTCAATGGATACAGAATTTCCAGGATTTTCAAGTAGAACATCTTGTAATATGCAAGACTCAGTAGATCCAGATGAGCATTATTCTTTTTTAAAAGGAAATGTAGATGAATTAAAAATTATTCAAGTTGGTATTACATTACAAAACAAAAAAGGACAATATCCAGATAATGTTAGAACATGGCAATTTAATTTTCAATTTGATACTGATAAAGATGAATCATCTGTTGATTCAATTCAATTATTACAAAAGGCGGGTATTAATTTTGGTAAATTTAAAAATGCAGGTATTTCAGCTGAAGATTTTGGAGAAGCGATAATGGCATCAGGATTAGTTTTAAATGAAAATACACATTGGCTAACATTTCATAGTGGATATGATTTTGGGTATATGCTTAAATTGTTAACATGTGAAAAATTACCTTCTACTGTTGATGGATTTATTAAAAAATTAAGAATCTTCTTTCCTAATATTATTGACCTTAAATATGTTACTAACCAAATTAGTCAAACTTATCATGGTAGTTTACAAGCAATTGCTTCTAGTTTAGGAGTTCAAAGAATTGGTACAATGCATCAAGCTGGTTCAGATAGTTTAATTACAGGAGGACTTTATTTTAAATTAAAAGAAAAACATCCAGAGTTTGATGATGAAAAATTTAATGGTATATTATTTGGATTAAATGACGAATATGAATAAGTAAATATCATAAATAAATTTAAATAAAATAATAAGAAATATTAGCCTTGTATTGAAATTTATTTTGATTTAACACAAATAAGAAGGATGGTTAATGATTTTTATTATAAAATTATAGGATTTTAATATTAAAAATATAAATAAAAAATAATCATTCAATTTAGTAGTTAGTTTAAAAGAGTTTTGAATGTTTGAATTGTTCACATTTTAATTGAATTTGAACTGGAGTCATTTCAAGATTATTTGCTATTTGTAATTGAAGTTTAGGATCCATTTGATTAAAATAATCACATAAATCACCATCAATAACACCAATACCAGGATAATTTGTTCCACGATAAGAATCAAATGAATTTGAAAGTAATGGAGAATAATTATTTTTAATTTCCATTTCTAATTTTGAAAAGAATTCTACATCTTCTCTAAAATTAAATGGTATTAATACACCAATACGTCCCATTAAACATGAATAAATAATTACATTTTTATTTTCTTTTATTTGTTCTTCAAAAGTATATTCATTAGTATTATCTGTTATTCCTTTCCATATTTCATTAACAGAAACAGAAGTAACAACATCTCCAACATACCACTGAACTATTTCATTTGACAAAGGAATAATATCAGTTAAATTAAGTTGGTTTGAATTTGTATTAGTTTCTGTAATAAAAACACTTCCAAGTTTATCAAATCCAATAGTAGAAGTTTCATCTAAAATTGTTGAAGCTGTTAAACTATGCCAAATACGATCTTTTTCAGTAATACTTAAAATATTAGCATCTGAATCATAATTAACATAAATAAATCCTGTAGCAACTGTTCCAACAACTATTTTATCTCCAATTACTTCTAATGAATTAATAATTGATGGAAATCCATCTAATTCACATTTTCTTATTAATATTTGTTTTCCTAAATCATATAATCTAAGTGTAGTACCAATACCTGCTAATAGTCGTTCTCCACACGACGTTAATGCATGACATATATCTTCTACTGGTGTTTTATGAATTAATTTAAATGTTTTAAGGTTATAAACATTAATCCAACATTCTCCTTTCATTTTCTTATAATGTTTAACTTGTGAAGAAATAAAACATTGTTTCTTTTTAAATGAAACATGTGCACCACAAATTATTGCTTCATCAGTTTTAAAATATGATTTAAATATTGAGTTATCAATAATTCCAACTTCACTTGCCCATTTTCCATCTTCTTGTAAGTCAATACCAATCTTTCTTTCATTAAATTCATTTGTCTCATTATCTATAGTAGGATTATATAAATTACTTTTATTATCACTACATAATACTGTTGTTGGAAAATAATTTGATTTAATTACTTTTCTTGGTGTATATAATAATGGTTGTTCATCATATGTAAATCTATCATCTAATGAACCAATTGCTATAACTGTTAATTCGTCATTTGTAATTCCTGCAATAGACTCACCAGAAAAATCAGTAATAAATGGTGCTAGTGCTTTTAATGGTTGATATGAAATTGGTGTAAATTCAATGCGGGAAAAATATGAATACATAAAAATCATTGTACTTGATGACATAATAACACCAATATTTCCACCAAACTCATATTGTCCAAATACAACAGGATCAGTTCCAATTAATTTACACCACATTAATTCTGAATTTTTTCCAATAACTTTATATCCATAACAACAACCATCCTTCATTCCTATACCAAGGAATAAAAATGGTTCTGATATCTCATTAAATTGTGTCAGTACTATTGATTCTGCTTCACCTTCAACAGTAATATTTGTTTCAAGAATTTGAAGAAATTTACTTTCTTTTTCTAATGTTAAAATATTAGCCATTCCATTATCACAAATATATGCAACTTTCTTAGCTTTTCCATTTTCAAAATCACCTAATGCCATTGCAATAATATTACTTCTTATAATTCTTCTTTCTACTTCAGCTAATTTCTTTGTTTCAGTATTATATTCAAAATATACAATTTCACATTTAGATTGTGCATTTTTTAATGCAATAACTACTTGACATGAACTTGATGTTCCCACTAAAATCGTTCGTTGTGCTCCTGGGTCTTGTTCTGATAATTTTTCATTTAAAATTGTAATAATTCCGTGTGCATGAATTTGAACTAATGTCCCATCTATGAACATTCCTGCATGTAGTGTTTGTACATTAGGTCGAATACCACATTCAGGACATTGTTTTAATGCATCAGGAAGAGTTTTCAATACATATGTTTGATTTTCTAATCCAATAACAACATATTGATGTGTTTGTTCATTATATGGTTTTAATGTCCAGATATTTCTTGGATGTTGTAATGATAATGACATACATTCATCAGGATTAAGTCCATGAGTTAATATTTTTAATGAACTTCTACTTCCTTTTCCAACAAAAGCTCTTATTTGCAATACTTCATGACTATCTACAACATCAATTGATGTTAATGGATGGTGTGAAGAAATAGAAGTAGAAATATTAAAATACAATGATTGTGGTTTATAAGTAGGTGATGATTGAATTGGAATTGTGAGTGGTGGTACTTTTAATACAAGATGGTTTTGTGACTCAGAGGCACTGAAAATAATATCACCATTTATTGACCAATTTACTGAAGGTGGAATAGTATCGAAATACTCAATTGTAGATGAATTTGGAAGAATTCTAAAAAGATCACCTAATTCATTTTGAATTAATAATACATTTTGATTATTTAATGGAACAAAGAGAACATTAGTGATATGAACAATAATATTTTCATTCATTGTTTCTCTATGAGGTAATAAATAAATAGATGGTGTATAATGATTGTAAATAATAATTTGATTATTCATAGTTAAAGCAAAAGAATTTGTACTAACTTCTATTTATATAAATACATAATTTATAATTGAATATAAGAACAAACTAAATATTGATTCAGTTTCATTATTAACTTCTATGTTTTTTATTTCTTGAGGTGAATTATTACAATCAAATACTTTAACATATTTCTTTTTTTCATTTATTAAATAGACTAATGTTGCATAACAATTATTTCCAATTGATACAATTCCAAAACAAACACAATCATCAATACTCACTTCTTCTTTTAAAAATGTACCATTTTCTTCTTTAAAATAATCAAAACCACCTTGAATTGCACCTGTAATAAATGAACTATTTTCTTCATCAACAGCAAGATACCTTGATTTAATAAATCTTTCTGTTTTTTTTTCAAGGTCAATTCGTTGTACTAATTTAAATTTAAAACCTTCCATTTGAATAATATTAATCGCATCACATAAAGCAATTATAATATAATCTGTTTGATTACTTGATAAATTCTTTAAGCAAAGAACATTATTAACTGTATTATAACTATCTAATTGTACAAACAAATCTAAAACAATATCATTGTCATTTGAATCTACTGTAATAAATTCTATTTTTCTTTCTGCTTTAACAACTACAAAATCATTTGATTCTTTAGAACGAATATTTCCATTACAACATGAAGTGATAGCAGTTGGTTGAATTAATGTATAATCAATAAACTGCATTAATAATTAAAATACAAAGTTCCTTTTTTCTCTTTTTACTTCTCAAGAATAAGAAACAGTTAAAATGTTTTTTATTACATTATTTTAATTTTAATAACCATTTGAAAACTTAAAAAAAGAAAGAACTTATAATTAAATAAAGGAGCAATGGATACCCTTGAACAATATGTTCTTGAACCAACTGAAGAATTTATTTCTGATAGTAAGAGATTTATCACTAAATGTAATAAACCAGATAGAAAGGGTTTGTTGAATAATTAATTTATTCATCAAAAAGAATATTATTGTATTAATTATTCTATAGAATACACAAAAACAATTTATGCTGTTTTAATTGGGTTTGCAATCCTTGGTTTTTGTGGTTACATCATTAAATTGATCCATATCCCAATTATCGAAATTTTAATGTCCTCTTAATTTTTCAATTGATGAATGACCATTTTAATTTTTTTTGTTTTTCTTTCATTCTTTCTTCTCCTCAAAAAAAATTCATCACCATTTCTTTTTTCTTTTAAATTTTTTTTTAGTTTTATTTTTTATATTATTTGTATTAAATCGTTTTATATAACAAAATAATAATAAATATGTTATTTAAAACAAGATAAATACCAAAAAGAACTTTGTTATTCCATTAAAATTTCAAGATTTGGTTTGTCAGGTAATGTTGGATAAAGGATGTAAAGCATAATCCCTTGTCCAATTGAAAAAATACAATAAAAGACAACTAGGAAATGAGCACTATTTGTGGTTATTACTTTTGAAAAAAAAAATTAACAAACAGAAGAAATAATATTGAATACCAAAATTGTGACCTAAAGCAAAATAAGATGCAGATAAAGGAAGGATAATTGCTAATACTGTATATCCTAATGTATAATGTTTTCTTAATGGTAAATAAATAAAAATAAGAAGGAGAAGTGGACAAAGAATATGTAATACTTTATAAAAGAAAGAAGCTGTTTGTGTTGTTGGTAAGAAATGAAGAACAGTTTCTCCAAAGATATATTGAACTAATATTAATGATGTAAAAGAACGATTGAGAAATGGTTTACGTTCTGCAAAGATTGGTGTTGGGAAAAATGGTGCATTATTAAAATATCTTAATGTTCCAATTAATGATAAGAAAAGAAATGTTACTGTATAAACTGACATTAAAGTAATTGGAAATATATCAAATTTAATTGAACTAATGAAATGTAAAGGAATCCATATCATCCACATAATTAATACAATAATGTACATTCCAATAAATGATGGAATACAACTTAATGTTAATGAATCAATTAAAAACGATGTCCATATAAGTTGTAAATGATTTGTTAATTCTATACATGAAACTCTATTAAAAGTAATATCAAATGAATCATTATTTTCATAACTAAGCATTCCTTCATTAATAAGTAAAGTTATTAATGACATAATTCTTACAAAAAAAGAAATTGATATATTTGATAATACAATTACTCGATATAATGGCTCCATCCCAGTGTAACATTTTTTGATAGTATTAATATCTAAATGAAGACAAGCCTTTGCAAAGTTCATATAAAATATTACAACAATTTTTTAGTTCTTCTTTTTTTCAAATAGAAAGAACAGAAAGAAATATTAGATTTTATTTATAACATATTCTGTTATTCTTCAAATTTAATTCGTTATTTATTGTGAGAAATAAATTAATTCTGATTATCTACTATTTATATTTTTATTATAGTGAATAATGAGAATCCAATAGTTCTTTTATACTCTTTATCTCTTTTAATATGCTAGTTTTTTAATTAACTCAAACTAAATAATCCTTCATTTAAGTTATTGACCCATTTTTACAAAAAAAATAAAGAAAAAGAATGTTATATTTCATTTATTATATTATTTTGATTTAAAAAAAAACTATATTTATATATCATTCTGGCTCTGTACTTTCTTCTTAAAATTTATCAATTGTTGATAGAAGTTATTTTTTATGATTAATATATCTTTCACATTATAAAATTTCAAGTCTTTTATAAATAAATACTAATAATTGTATTTAATGATACTTTTTTTCTTAAATACAAAACAAACTTAAAAACAAAACAGAGATTTATTTTATATAAAAGATAATATACCATAACAAGATTAGTAATTTGATTTTAAAACCTTAATTTTGTTTTATAATTTTATGTCATTTAATTGATATATTATCATGTTTAAGTTAAAAAGTAAATTAAATAAAAAATATAATTGATTATTCAATAAACATACATAGGACTCATTCTACTAATTTAATAACTAACTTCACCATCAGTTAATTCATCATTTTGACAAGTAAAAAAGTCAAAGAAACTCGATGTTTTTGAGTCTTTACTTCTTCTTCTTGATGGTGCTTTATTTATTTCAAAAAAGTCAGGAGAAAGACTTTCAGAACTTGAAGACTTTCTTCGAGAGGCATCAGACAATTGTGCACAGTTCATTGGTAAACCAAAAGAGTGACACAAAGGAGAGAAATGTCTATTTGGTGATGTTTTATTAAATGCAAAATAATGAGGGTCTTTAGGAGAAAAAGAATAATGTTCAGTAGGTATGGTTGGAGAGTATAGTGTTTTTGGAGAAATACTTCTAGCTCGAGCAGAGTGACTTTCTAAAGGAGAAGAAATAAATGGGGAATTATGTTCATTTGATTTAATTTGATGGAAGAAGGTATGTTGAATCCAAGGAGATGAAACAAGGTCATTAAAAAAAGGAGGGGTAATAGTACTAACTAGTGAGTTATATTTGTTAATCCAACCACCAACACGAATACAACCAAAAGAAGCATGATCTAATTTACCTGCCATACTTTCGGGAAGTTTAGTTTTTGGATGTGTTTTTAGAAATATTCTTGAAGGTTGTGTTAAATCATAAACATCTTTAAGCACATTCTCTGTAATATCAGAAAATGTAACACTTGATTCAATAAAATTCTTTAATAATTGACATCCTTTTTTCTCAGCAGAACCAGTAAATAACATTTTTCTGAAATAAGGATTTAAGTTATGATGAATTCCATCAGTCATTACCATTACAATGTCATTTTCTTTTAATTCAATTTTACCTAAAACACCATCAACTACCCCTGGAATGTAATTTTCAGTACTCCCTAATTTACCCCCACAATTTCTTGTTTCTCCAATTTTTGAAAGTATTTTTCCACATAATAAATTAACTTCTTGTAATTCACTATTATAATTATATGCACTACAATCACCTATACTACAATATACTCCATTATAACTTCCTGTTTCTAATGGAACTATTGCAATAATTAATAATGTCGTTGTTCCAATATTTAATAAGCTTGAGTCAGATCTAAGAATTGCTTCATTTGCCTCTTTGACTGCTTTTAATTCTAATTCACCAACATCTCTTATATTTTCACATTTATTTAAACAATTCATTGTACTAAAAACTGTATCTATTGCTATTTCTGCAGCTTTGCATGAAGCAACTCCCCATCCACAACCATCAGCTACTACATAAACAGCACTATTTTCAAATAATTTTAAACCAATACGATCACAAATTGGTTCACCTGTTTTTTGACCATTAATTATTGCATAATAACTAACTGTAGACATACTACAATATTCATCAATTGTACTAATTTTATAAGGAACATTTGTTGATTGAATTATATTTCTCACAATGACTCCAATATTCATAATTTTATTCTTTGGTAATGATTTTATCTGTGAATTAAATACTGAATCAAATACTTTTTCACGATGTTCTCTTTCTTTATGACTCATGATATGAGAGTATCAAGTTAGTCTAGTTGATTACATCAAATAACTTGATACCCCTTCTAAATATATCAATAAAAGTTCTAATTTTAGTATTTTCAACTGAATTTCATATAAATGAAAATAAAAATAAAACGAGAAGGAATTGATTACAACAAATTTTATTTTTTCCTTCATTTCTCAACATTTAAAACTTTAATTATCCTATTATAAAATAACTATAAAAAACTTAAAATAAATTTGACAATTTTCATCTTACAAATTATCTCTTACATCATCATCTTTTTTTTTTTATCTTTTTCTTTTATTAGTTGACACTACTATAATCATATGATTGAGTAATATCTTCTGTAGTAGAATCATTTCCTTCTTTATCACTTTCATTTTTTCCTTTTTGACTGGGTTGTTGTGATAAAAAATCTGTTAGTTTTACTCCATTTAAAGACTCTTCGTTTAGAGCAAGCATTTCAGGAGTAATAACCATTATTCTCAAACCTTTTTGAAATTGTTCTTTTACAACAGCATCAAGACGTTTTCCAAATTCCATTAAAACACTTTTTTCAAGAATAACTTTTGTAGGAGATTCCATTTTTTTAATTCTATACATTTTAATAGTTTTTCTAGCAGAACGTGTTCCTTTAAATTCAGGATTATATCCAACATTAATTAACATTTGAAGATAACCATTACTTACTTCTGCTTCTTTTGATCTTCTTTCTTGTTTAGGATTCATTGGTGTAGTAATAGTATCAACTCCAAATCGATGTTGTAATTTTCTACCTTCTTTTTGGATATCTTCTTGACTAACACAAAGTTCATTTTCAATAAATAACTCATCAACACAATATAATTTAATTGTTTTTTCTGCATGTTTTGTTTGTTTAAGTTTTGCACTAAATCCAAATTCTCTAATCAAAATGTATAAATATCCATCAGCCAATGTTGCCTCTTCATCTCGGGATTCTCTTTTTTTAACAGTTAAATGAATATCTTCGTCTTTCTTTAAGTTTGGTTTCATTAAATTTTTAAAGGATCTTATAATTTAAAAAATTTTTATAAAAAACTATATTTTTTGATTAATTCTTCTCTAATTTCATTTTTTGTTGTTATTAAGTCAAAAAGGAATGACAACAAAGATTTTTTCTACTTATGTTATAAATTTTTAGATGAAAAGTAATTTTACATGGAATTGGATGGATGTTGGAACAATTAGAAAGTAAAATGGAATTGGAAGGCAATCTTTGAAAACTATGGGAATTATTTATCATCAGACCCTTTTGGAATTTCATTTTTTGATGGAAGGGAAGAATCATTTACCCTAAAACTTTTACGTTCACTCCTTTTTGGTGAGCTACTACCAGAACGACCTCCAGAACTTTTATCTCTTCTTGACTTTGAATAAGATGATACACTTCTTGACCTATTATATCTTCTTCTACTAGATCTACTTCTTGATCTATTATGTCTTCTATTACTTCTTGATCTATATCTTCTTCTACTAGATCTGCTTCTTGACCTTCTTCTAGAAGAACGACTTCTTGACCTATCATAACTTCTTCCATGATATGAGTGTCTATAACTGCTACGATAATGGTCTCTTCGTTTTCTATCTTGTGGACGTGATATTTGGACTACAACAATTGACCCATCAATTTCTTTACCATTCATTTCATTTACTGCTTTTTCCGCAGTTTCTTCATCATTAAAAGTAACAAATCCAAAACCTTTTGAAGCTCCATCTTTATGAGTTGCAACACGAGCTAAATAAATTAAATTCTTATTCTATTTCAATTAACAAATAAATGAAATAAAAAAAAATTAACCAACAATTCTTTATTTCTCCAACTGATGCAAATACTTCTTTTAATTTATCTTTGTCAGTATTTAAACTCAAATTACCAACATACACTTCTAATCGATTCATTTTTTGAATAAGATTAACCCTTAAGGGTTTTTTATTACTTTTTAGTTTTTCTCTTTTCTTATAAAATAAAATTAATAAAAAATTAAGTTAAATTGAATAATTCTTTCATTCCATTTGTACAACAAGAATTCTTATTAATTTAAACACTTCATTATTTGTATTATTCAAATCATCATTATCAATCCCTTTATATTTATTTGATATATTAACACATCCACTTTGTGAAATTGTAGTTTTAGCTACTGAAATAAATCCATCAGGAAAACCTATTTCACATAATCTACCAATTTGATTTGTTTCTCTATTAAGAAAGAAACAAGTTGAAGGTTTATCACCTCTTCCAAACCAACGAATAGGAGAGTCAATTCTTTCATTAGATTCTAAAGAAAAAATGAAATGGCTTTTATCTTCCATTCTTTTTCCAGGTCTTGAAATAGACTTTCTATTATATCCTCCAAAAATATTTCCTTTTTCATCAAAAAGAATTATATAAAGTGATGGTTTATTCATTAATGATCGTTGAAAACATACTACATTTTGATCATCAATATCACTATCAAAAATAATATTCATCTTTATTCTTCCTGTCCATTCTCTCATTTCATTCATAAGTAATATCATTTTTTTTTCATACAAACTTTTTTCATTTGTTTCTTCTATTTTAACTAATTGTTGTTCTTCTTGGATTGTTTCTTCAAATTTTATTGATAATTTTTTTTTTAATTCTTCTACTTCTTTCTTTAAAAGATAATAATCTTTCATTTTTACTTCCATTTGTGTGTATTTCTTTTCAACAAAATCAAGACGATTTTTGCATTGTATAAGTTCATTTTGAGTTTGGATGATAATTTGTTGTAATTCAATGATTTTGTTTAAAAGTTCTTCATTCATGAAGGAGTAATAAATGAAAATTAGTTTTTTATTATTTTTTTTTTCTTTTTTTTTGTAGAAAAAATTAAAAAAAAAAATAATAAGATTTTTTGTTATTTTATTATTATGAGTAAGTTTATCAATTTAATTTCCTCTCGTTGTTCTAATACTATTACTAAACCTATTATACAAGAATTTGATTATGTTTATATATCTATATCTATTTGTGATGTATTTAATATTAATGATATCGAATCTTTTCTCAAAATTTGTATTCCAACAAAAATGTTATGTATTTTTATTGAAGGTATTGTTCCTCTTGCTCTTCTTCGTTCAAGAAAACATAAAATACTACACTCAATTGACTTTGATAATTTAATTAAAAATTTTATTCAAAAACATCCTTCAGTAGAAGTTATTCTCTCTGATAAGTTAGTTTCTGGTGATGCAAATCAAAAAGCTCTTGATTTTGTTAGAAAACAATTAGAATGTATGAATTGCCCATTAGATAACACTCATTGTTTTATATCTAATTCAATGCCTTTCCAATTTCTTTCACTTCATTTACCAAAAAGTGTTATTTACATTCCATCAGTAGGAATAATGTTTGACTTAATCCCAACAGCATTAACATTATTAGAAAGTTATAATATTGAATTAATAAATCATAATTTAACTCAATTAGTTGATGATTTAGTTGTATTATCTTTAATAACTGAAAATGATGTGATTCCACAAGAAGGAGAGATTTCATTAGATGGGTTATTACGAGAATATCAAAGAGAAATTAAGACACAAGCAATAAGTTCCAATGGAACAATATCAAAACAGTTCATAGGAAAAATTTTATTAAGTACATTTCAACATCAAATTGAAGACATAAAAAAGAAAGAAGTAGAAAGAGGTAGAAGATTAATTGGAAATGTAGAACATGAAATTGATCAACTTAATTATCAAAATGATCAAGTAGCAAAAAAATTAAGAAAAGATTTAATAACAATTCGAGGAAGAAGTAAAAATGCACATACAGCACAATATGTTAAATGTTTAAATACTATTGCTTCACAAAAAGATGTTGAATATGTTTGTCAAATGTATTGGAAAGGAATAGAGTGGTGTTGTATTTCAACTTTTAGAGGAATTCCTGATTGGGATTGGTTTTATCAATTTAATGCACCACCAGAAATAACTGATTTAATTCAACCTTGCTCATCTAATTCATTTAGTTTAGGAAGGCCAATACATCCTTTAATATACCAGATATTAATTAGTTCATGTAAATCAAAACTCCCAAATGGATTAGAGTGGTTAAACACAAGTCAATCAGAATTTTATGAATATTTTCGTAATCCACAACAAATGGATATTCTTCAAATCATTAAAATTATTACAGAATCAAAACTTTTTCAAGACTTAAACAGTATTCATTGGGGATGGCATGAGTTATGGTCAACAAAACAATATGTTAAAGGAACTCTTATTCCTAATGAATGTGATACTTCACAACCATCTCAAATAGACATCATTGTTAAAGGTTCTTTTCTTTCATATAAAAATAAAAACATTGTAGAAGGAAATATTATTCAATGTTTTAATAAAAAACATCAAGAAGATAAAGAGTTACCTTTTAAATATGGATTTATAGAACCTTGGTATTCAAAAAATTTTATTTTTGAAAGTTGTTCTATTGAAGCTCCACAAAGAATATTACAATTTGATTATAATGAACGAAAAAGAAAACATGAAGAAATAAAAGAACCTATTATTCCACCATTTACTTATTAATTCTTTTAATTACTAAAATTTGAAAATAACAAATAATTCAATTTATTTAGGAGATGAAAATGTAAGATTTAATGAACTTTTAAAGAATGTCTTTTTCTTTGGATCTTCACTAGACTTTCTTGTTTTTAATAATTTAAATAATCCTAATTCTCCAGTCATAGATTTTGACAAATTTTGTGTGTCAACTAATTGTGCTACAACTGTAAAAATATCACTTCGATATTCTTCATGTTCCCAACATGAATGAATAATTTTAGATAAAAGAACATCTTTTTGTGGAACTTCAGGCATTGTATATGAAGCAACCATATCCCTAACTACACTAAGGTTTTTAACATCTGGAAATGGATGACTCCAACAATACAACTCCCATAAGATCATTCCAAATGAAAAAACATCACTAGCTTCTGTGAAATGATTATTTAAAATAACTTCTGGGGCAAGCCAATATGGACATTCAACAACATTACATGGTCCACTTTGGTCTTCTGGAATAGTTTCTCCAAAGTCTGTAAGAGCACATCTTTTTATTTTTTTATTTGAGTCTAATTCTACTAATATATTTGGTGTTTTTAAGTCTCGATGAATATGTTTTATAAGATGAAGTTGTTTAATTCCATTTGCAATTTGAAGACCAACATCTCTAACTTCTTCATAACTCAGAGATGGATAATGTTCTATATATTCGAATAAATTACCATCTTCAAAATATTCCATAATAATCATCATTGGACATTCAACATAATTATAAACTCTAGCAAGGTTTTCGTTTGGTTGAAATTGAATTGAATAAACTTCATGAATAAACTCTCCAACTCGTAACAAATATTCTTCAACAGATGATTTAATTCCTTCCATATGACACATACTAATATCTACATTGATTTCTTTTATTACTACCTTCTTTTTTGTATCATTTCCAATATGTCCAACTGATATAATTGATGAACTTCCTCGTGTTAATACCTTTTCTTGGTGAACATCTTTTACGGAAAGACAATGACCAACAACTTCTTTTAAACATATAAATAAAAGGTCTAATGCAAATAATGGTAAAACAACATAATGTTCTTTATTGTCACTCTCAATTTTCTCAAATACTTTATTTTTAATTGAATTTTTAATTTGTTTTTTGTTGAATAAGAATGGCTTGTCTTTTGTAACACAACAACTACACATAATATGAATATCATATTGTATATCAAACCTATTTGATAAAGTAGTTAATACATGTTCTATTTCTTTAAATAATTTCATTGACTCTAATGTCATATCATCTCCCATGAGATATCTTAATCTTAATGATAATTTTTGACGAGATTGAGAAAATACAAAATACATAAATATATCTCCACAGTCTACTCGTTCAGAACATATAATTCCTCTTTTCCAAACAACAATCATTTTGTAATAAATAGATAGATAAGCTAATAATTTTACATACATCTCTCTTGGCATTAATGAAAACTCATAAACTCGACCAATTTCTAATTCCATTTTATGATATTTAGATGGCCAGAAATTTTCTATTGTAAACCCAGCTGTTAGTGAACTAGTATTAAATATTAAGTAACTTGGTTGTTGCTGTTGATTTTCCGTAGTTGTGTCTGAACGAGGTGAATTTAAAACATTCTCTTTATGTGAAGAAGATATAGAAGATTCAGTTTGGAGTGGGAGTGTTCTAAGTGACATTCTTTTTGATCCAATAGAAAAAGAAGCTCTTGGTTTCCTTGTTGGTCCAATAGAATGGGTTTGATGTATTAAATTAGAGTTTGATTTTTCAGAGTTTTCTTTTTCTAAAGATGATAAATTAAGTCCCGGACTAGTTATTGGAGATTGGTCTGATGAAAGAGAGTTAGGACATCCATTTGATAATAGATGGTCTGAATAATATTTCAAATACGACATTGGAATATTCATTTTTTTAAAGAACTCATCATCAACTAATAATATAACATGAAGAGAATGCATTAAATGTAAAACAAAATGAAGAGAATAGGAAGAAACAGACAATGATTGTTGTAAAGTCATAACAGAAACAATTCCATTTTTTGTTTTAACAGTTGCCAAGATACTTCTGATTTTATCCATTATAGAATAATCAACTAAACAATATCTATAACCATCTAAAGTAAATATACCTTTTCTTTTTAAAGAATTAATCATTTTAGAGTCATTTTCTTTTGGGAGTTCAAAATATCTGAAAATATTACATAATTCTGATATTCTAAGAATTCCATTTTTATATTCAAATGATTTAATTTCATGAAGTAAATGATCTATAATAGTTTCTTTATGTTTATTTTTTATAACTTGTTCTATTACTTCTTCGACATTTAAATTTATCTCTTCGACTTCCCCATTTGACTTCTTCTTTTGGATTAAATCAATTACTTTTTGGTCAGTATTTGATTGTTCAATTATTTTTTTAATACGTTTACCTGTTTCTTGTTCTCCACAAATAAAAATCATTCCAAGATAACAATATTTATATGATTGTTCTTCAAATATATCTGGAGCTACAGAAATAAAATCTACATCAAAAGAAGATCCATTATAAGTTAATAACATATGCTCTAAATTACCTGAAGAATAATTTGTACCATTTAGTATTGCAATAGAAGACATTATGTCTTTTCTAATTGTATCACTACCAGTAATAACAACATCAATATGTTCAATAATATTTTTATTCTTTTCTAATTGTTGAATTGAAACATCACAAAATGGTTCTAATGAACGAGGATAAAATATTAATGGATTTCCTATTAAAGACAATACCTTGAGATTTTTTAAAGAAGTCATTTGTCTTGGAAAATATGTTATTTTATTATTTTTTAAATTTAATGATGTTAAGTTTGTTAGTCCTTGAAATCCATAAGGAAGTCGTTCTATTCCACAGTCTGTAATACTTAAATCTTCAAGTGTGACTAGTGATGTAATATTAAATGGTAATGATTCTTGCTTAGTAATAGAATTAATAGATAAGAATTTAATCATTGGCAATGTCTTAATAATGAAGTTTAAAAAAGAACTTGAACAATCATGAGCAATAATTCTTTGTACTGAAGGAATTGTTATTGGAAAGATTGAAGAAAATCCTGAAATAACAAAGGTTTGGAGGGATGGAGCATGAAGTCGTACTAATGGATTATATGAAATATTAAGAGAGTCAAGTGACAAATATTGTAACATCGAAAGATGACAAATATCGTTATTAGCCAAATTAAGATTTTTTAAATTAGTAATTGATGTAATTGATTCATCTATAACAGTAAGATGATTATTTTGAAGATTAAGACTAATTAATCCAGTAAGAACAGTAATTTCTTGTGGAAATGAAGTTAAATGATTATTAGATAAATTTAATGATGTTAATGATGTATAATTATTTAACATTCCATCATATAATGGGAAATATACTAAATTATGATGAAATTCAAGAGAATATTTTGATTGTAATGATTGTAAAGTGAAGAAATTATAAGTATAAGGATTAATTATAGTTGAAAAGAGATTATTTAAATGTAATTTTGTACATGGAATTTCAATTTGTCCTTCAAAATAATTAGTATTAATAAATTCATTCTTATGAATTTGAAGATAAGAATAAACACTAGCTAATCCATAAACTTGAAATGGAAGAAATTCAATAAATCGTTTAGAATAACAATGATAATAGAAGAATTTGATTAAATGATTATTAAATTCAAATTGATTTGGATTTGTTTGTATTAACATAAGAACACATGCTAAATATAATATAAAATATTTATTAAAATCTCGTTCAGGTGTTTCAAGAAATGGAAATTTATTCCATACAAAGTTTTTTAAGAAAAGATGTACAAATCCATCAAATGTCCTATAATGAGAGTCTGTCATTAGTTCAATTAATGAACAAACAATATTAACTGAACAATCAAAACTTTTATTTGGTAAAAGAACACATAATGTTTCTGGTGTTTGAATTAATAATAATATTTTATGTATCATTTGAAAAACTGTGTCTATTTGATTAGAGTAACATTCCATTGTAGAGTCGAAGAGTTGAATACATTCATTTGCATTAGATGTATATGAATCAAAAAGTCTCATTTCTAAATCTTTCATTGTTTTATATGTTTCATTATCTTTAAGAGCAATATCAGGAAATGTTATAAGATATTTTACAACATTAGAAATACTAGAATTAAAAATAATTGGAGTTGGTGAATTGAGAGAGATACTTGAAGATAAAGAGAATTGAATAATTTTAGATTTATTTTTTGTTTGGAAAGCAACATAAGGAACTCTACTTGTATCTGAACATTCAATACCTTCAACAATAGGTGCATTAATTTTATATTGTTTAGATGTGGAGTTTGATTCTGTTCCATCAAAAGAATAACCAATTCGTTTATATTCAAATTGAACTATATCATTCAAAGTATTTTCATCGAAAATTTTTGATTGATATTCATTAAATGGTTGATACTGATATTGAATATGAACAAATTCTTTATCAATAGAATCAAATGGTTGTTTTGATCCAAAAAATAAATGAGTAAAATTTCTACAAAACACTACCAAGCCGTATAATTGATTTCTTTCTTCAATTCTAAAACTTGCAATATAATTAATTGGTATTTGACCAATCGTTGAAATTATTTGTATTTTACTTGAGTCATCACAATTATCAGGAACAAATTTTATTCTATAATTCGTTAAAAAGAGTTTACCATGTTCCCATGAATCAAAATTAAAAGAATCATCTTTCATTTCATGTGTTGTAATATATTTGAATGGACAATAAACATCATTATAACAATATTCAATAAATTCTCCTTCATATTGCCATGTACTTTCAAATTGTATTATTTGTTCATTATTAGATGGTGATGATAATAATGAAATTAGAGATATAACACTCTTTCTATTAATCATCCCTTGACACAAACAATTTAGAAAATAACTTGCACATTCTTGTTGCATTTCTTTATTCATTTTACATTGATCAATTAATTCATTAATAAAACTAATTGTATAATCAAAAACTGCCCTTTTTATTTCACCTTTTTTACCTAGTGCATTCTCTTCCATTTGAATTAATTCTTCTTTTTTAATATTTCCTTGTTCAATATATATTAACATTTCATTATAAACATCTTCTTCAATAACTGGATTAGGTAATGATAGGAAAAAATGTTTCCATAATAATAATGCAATTCTAATAGAACCAATTTCATAGAGATTTGGATAATTCCCTTTATTTAACTCATTAAGAATCATCAAAACAATATGTAACTCTTTATAACTCTCTTCACTTATTTTTTCTAATTATAAATATCATTGGTATTTAAAAATAAAAGAAAAACAAATTAACAAACTAAATAATTGACTACCAATGTCTTGAGTATTTATAAGTTCCATAATAAAAGGAATATCTTTCTCTTTAATACCTCTAAATTTCCATTCCATTTTACTAACATTAAATTTAGTTGTTTTATTTTCACTAATTGAAGTAATAATTGAAGAATATTGAGATAAACCATTATCTTCAAGTAATTCAAGTTTTTCTTTAAGTGGTAATTTATCGAATGGAATAGTAGTTTGATATTTTAAACTAACTAAAATATATTTTTGGATATATGACTGAATTAAAGGGATGTTTTGAAATGTTCGATCTCCTAATTTAATTTTAGTAATTTCTTCTCCAACAATAATATATTTTTCATTCTCATTATTTGTTATTTCTAATTCTTCATTTTTATGTTCTTCTTTAACACTATCAACTTCTTTAATTTCATTTTCACCATCATTATTTTCATTTTTAGGAGGGATGTATGGTGTAATCATTCCCATAAAACCAATTCGTGGTGTTTTAAACATTTGATTCAAATTAGTACCAAATTTTTTAATTAAATTTCCTTTTTTTTCTGAATGTGATGACTGTACAGTAGGTGTTGGTAATTCATTACTCTCTTCTAATGAAACTTTTCTTTGTTTATCACTACGACTTAATGATGGAAGTTTTGACTATTTAAATAATTAATAAGTTAAATAATACTTAATAAAATAAAGAACAAACGAATTGTATTGAAGTCATTCGACCAATATGACCTCCCTTGCTATTTTTCATTAAATAGCAAAAAAACAGATTAAAATCTAAGAAATTTGTGAGTTGTACAATTTTTTCTATTTTATCTTTGATTTTCAAACAAAATTGATTAACTGTCAGTTTGCAAAAAAATTCCTCACATCTTTATTTTTATTCCATCGTTCTTACTTAAAAAAAACTCTAAGAAACTAAATGTTCTCCCTTCAATACAATTTAAGATTTCATATTAATTAACTTTTTTTTATTCAAGATCCTTTACTATTTATTTCCTTTCTTTTATCAAATCACTATCAAACCTAATGAAACTGACTACCTAAAATCATGAAAGGCAATCTTTTCCAGAGTATTCCTGTTAAAGCAACAAGTCTGAATTTTTCTATTCTATTATTTTCTTCCGAATAACTTTTTGAAGTCTAAATAAATTTTAATTATTAAAATTGTTATTTGTATTAATTCTAACTAATTACTCCCTTTTGTAATATTTTCCTATATTTATCAGAACACCCTTCCATTCTATTAACGGATTGATTAATTATTATTCTTTTCTTTATTATTATTGTATCGACCTACTTTAACTTCCTTTCATTTATTCCTCTTTAAATTTATATACCTATGTGGTTAGTGTCTTTTATCAATTGAGGTATTATTATGACTGTTATGTTTTAAAGTGTTGTTTAATATCACATAAGAGCAAATAATAAAAGTTGGTACTTCAAAGTTTTATATTTTGTTCAATTTAATAAATAATACTAATTAGACTCTCTGAAAAAATTTTTCTTCTTGTAAGATAGCTTTTGTATATAATTTCTCTGTTAGTGTCATACATTATTTCTTTTAAAGAAGAAATTACTAAATAATGTCTTGTTGCTTTTTTTCTTTATGTTTTTTCCCCCAAATCATAATACACCTTTTATCAATTAAAAGATAATAACTTTTTATGTTATATTTGAGAGATTCTTCTTAAGTCTTAGTAACATTAATACTCTATAATCAATTTAAAAAAAACTGTTTTATTTGTGTCTCAATATCTTTTAAATGATGATATTAGTCATTAACAAGTAAATTGCATGACAAATACTTTGATTTTAGCTTAATTGTTAAAATAAGATTAAACAATAACACTCTTTTTATTAATAATTCAAGCAAATAAATCTTTCTTTGTTTTTCAAATATTGTTGGAACTCTTTTATTTTTATCAGTCAAAATATATTAACATTTATTGAGACTTCAAATTATTAAACAAATGAAATCATTGTTAATTATTTTGGTTAATCATTTCTATCTATTTTAGTTAAACAAGTCCAGTTTAAATAATAATTTAAAAGATGTTTCAAGACAAAGTATTTTATAGTTATATTAATTTAAAAACTAAGGCTTCAATCTTTTTATCATAATGTTGATAATAATTAGTTGACTAAACAATCTCATTCATTAGTAGTACTGTATAATCTAGTGTCTTGAATTTTATATATAATTAATAAATATAAATTCCTTTCTTAGAAAGACTTACCAAATTCTTTGTTTTGATATATTATTCTTATCAAGACATTTTAATAGTCTAATGCTAAAGAATATCTTTATTTAGTTGGGAATTGAATCAAACAAAATGTGTTTCTGTCCAAATAAAGAAAGTAATATTCTCATTCTAATTCTCTTAAGTCTAAAACTATTTTATTTATCTTTCCATTCAACTAGTTGTTATAAATACAATCTTATGTATAACCAATCATATAATAGGGAATTTTTATCAAAGAACTCAATGAGTATCTATTTCTTTAATCATCAGTTAGTTTTACATATCTCATCTGAGTTTTTTCTTATGAAATACAAAATAATGAAATGAAATAACCTTTGAGTAAAATTGAATATACTGAATTTTTTATATTTAAACAAAAAAAAACATCCACATATTAAAGAAATAATTTATGTTCAAACAAATAATAATATATAAATTTTCTTTTTAATATTATTTTAAAGAGATTTAATAATTGGATTTGTATTGCTGTTGTTTAGTCTTTTTTATTAACTTTGATGAAACAATAAATTCATTAACTCATTGTAGGTAATAGTTAGTAATAAACCTTGAAACAATAGATTAAGAAAAGAAATAAAGGAAGATTCTTCATAGACTCAAATTAAAATCTAAACAATGTTTTTATATTTTCATAGAACTTAAAAAAAAATTATAAAAATCATAAAAATATAATTAAAAAAACAACTACTAAAAAACTATATTTTAATAAGAAGAAAAAAGAAAACAAAAATAACTAAAAAAGAAAGAAAGAACTTAAAAATCATCATATTATTGTTATGAGATTTTTTGCAATCCTTGCTTTAACATTTGTCCTTTCAGCATGTGCCCAATCAAGTGGATTTTGGATGCCAACACTATACCGTGTTCAAGAAAGACTTGGAGAAGTTGCTATGAGATTAGATGAAGTTGAAGATGAAGAAAGACATGTCGGAGATATGATTGACGAAAATATTAAAGATTTAGAAAATGTGATCACAAAACGAGAAAAATATATTATTGGAAGAAAATTAACACATTTAAGATCTAAAATGGTTGTTTACCATACAAAGAAATTAGCCCTTCTTAGAGTTATGAAGAAAATTGTTAAAAACATCCCAAGAAAATTCAGAGCTAGAATGATTAGAAGATTAAGATTAGAAAAGAGATTCAACGCTATTAGAGATATTGCCCGTGATGCTAAGTATGTTCTTAAGTCACATGGACATATTTCACATAAAACAGATACCAAAAAAACTCTCAAGAGAATTGGACATGGAATATACAAAAACACTAAAGGAAAGAAATAATTAATCTTTTGTCTCTTGTTTTAATTCAATAGAATTAATTAGTTTTAATTTTTTTTCTAATATACAGAGACATTTGTTACAAAGTATTAATGTATGAAAAAATAAATAAACAGGTCCTAAATAATACAATTATTCATTGCACAATTCAAGTAATTTCTCTGAAATAATATCAAATATTTGATTAATATTATTCCCTGTTTTTGCACTACATTCTAAATTACCAATAATATTTGAGTTACAACTGTTAATAAAGTCATTCACAGAATTTTGATTAACTTCACGTTCTTCTTGTAAGTCATCTTTATTTCCAACAATTAAAATCATTATGTCATTGGTTGTATTAGACTTTAATTCAGCAACCCAATCAGTTACAGCATTAAATGTTTCCTAATTCAATAAGTTTTATTATTTTCTTTTTTTTTCTTATTAACTAATATTGAATTTAAACAAACTCGTTTTGTAATGTCATATACTAATAAGGCAACTGTTGCATTTCTATAATAAATTGAAGATAATGATCGATATCTCTCTTGTCCAGCTGCATCCCATAATTCATATTTAATAATTCTTTTATTATAAGTTATTGTTTTTGAACTAAATGCACACCCAACAGTAGCTGTTTGTCTAACAAATTCATTACTAATCCATCTGTGTAAAATACAAGTCTTTCCAGTTCCCATCTCTCCTAAAACAACTACTTTTATTCCTTTAGAAAGTTGTTCATTCAAAGGTAATGGTGTTGGAGGTTCATCATTTGTGACTATTAATTGAGTGTAAATTCTCTTATTTGTTTAAATGAAAAGCAAACTATCAATAATACTTTCGTTTTTTCCTGAACAACAAGACATACGAGTGAATGTTTTGAGTTATTTCTTTATATTTTTAGAGTAATAATTTATTTTTTTTTTCAATCTTTTTCATCTTTTTATTTTCCTATTTTATTAACAAAAAACAAAAACATAAAATAAAGTTAATGTTATTTATTTTTTGTGACAAATAAATAAAACACAAAAATAAAAAGTTAAAAGAGAAAAAAACTGAAAATCTAATAGACATTCGTTTAGCTCTAATGAATCATCTCCTTCTTTTTATGATGACATTTTTTGCTTTCACTTATGGAGAGGTACAAGAAAATCCAACAAAAGAATACCAATCACTTTTATTTCAACCTGTTGTTGTTTGTTTAATTATATTTTTATAGTAATAAATATTAATTAATAAAAATAATACTTATTGTAAAATAGTATCAGTCAGTTGTTGTAGCTGACTTCATTCCATTAATTATGATTGCAGTTGTTATTATTATTATTGTGAGTGTTATTGTAGGGTCAATTATTACTAATTCAATGGCAAAAGATGCGGAAAAGGATGCAATTCTTTATCTCTCTTCTAAAATTGTTTGTGTTTAAATCAATTCATTAAAAATAATTTTTAAGAGGAATTAACGTATGTGTAGAATTAAATTAGTGTTAAGTGAATAAATTAATTCACCTTTTTGTTTATTTGTCTTTTTGATTTAAAATGAAAGTGCATAATTTTTGTATAAAAATAAAAAAAAGTTTTGTTTAAGAATAACATTTTATAAAAAAAAGTAAAAATGTTTTTCTTTTATTTGACTGTTATTTTTTATATAATATTTTAACTTCATGATTTTTAGTCGTTACTTTGAACGTTAATTTAAAAATTAATACATTTCATCAATTTTGATATTCATTATTTATAAAAATATAAAAAAGTAATTTTTAATTAGAAAGAGATTCTAATAAAATTATAAAAGACTTTTAGAATTTAAATATATTTTTGTTTATTATACTTTAGGAATAGTTTATCCTTTTTAATTTTTAAGGAATATAATCATATTAATTTTACTATCACTTAAATTTTAAAAGAAAATTAACGAAACTTTAATAGTAAATACTTGCTTTTTAGTATTTATAGAAATAAAGAAATTAGTATAGGATATTATCAAATTAAAAGATAAATATTATATTACTATTAAATAATTCTAATGTCAATACTTTTCATTATTAATTTAGAAGTTTATATAATCAGAATGTTTCATTGTTGAGATTTAGTCTTCTTTTTTTTATCAAAAACACTCTATAAAGACAGTTTTTCTCAAACTAATGTTATATTATTTCTATAACAAACAATGATCCAAATACGTTTAAATATTTGTTATAAGTAAAAATGAAAAATAGTCATTAATTTATTGTTATCCAATTAATATTTTAAAACTTCCATAAAATAATTATATAGAGTCTAATCATTAACTCTGAAAGTTTTTTGTCTTTTATGTATAGGATTTTCTTTTATGATTAATATGAGCTTTCATTTCTATTGACTTAATGTGTTATAACCAAATTTATTTTTTTTGTATAAATATTAGTACTTTCAGTGTTATTACAAATGTTATTCTATTATCAAAAAATGAAGTTTTGGATATGATTATTTCCTTTTTTGATTAATAAAAATAATTGTGACTTATTATGTTTTTATTACTATTGTGCATTTCTCACAATTTTTTTTTGGGCTTCCATATCTAGTTTTTGTTAATACTTTTGTTTTAGATACTTTAAATTCTTATAGGGGTTGTTAGTTCAATAAGTCTTTATTGTACGAACAATTCGTTCAAACAGGAATTGACATAAATATTTTTGTTTCATTCAGTTATAATTCGGATTTAAAGAATGAGCAACGAAAGGTGTTATCTTCTTTTAACTCTTTTTAAGTGAAGGTATTACAAACTAAGACAACTGAAAACCACTCAAAATAAAATCACAAATATCTTTTTGATACAAAAAGAAAATTTTAAAGTGAGAATATATATTTTTCAATTTTCATATTAATGGAATTTGCACCTTTTTTGAAGAAGAAACGGGGTTGAGTTGAATTTCTTCTTTTGTTTCATGGAGAAAGGAAGAGGCAGAAAAAAAAAATAAAAAATTCTTTAAAAAAGGAAACAGAGTTATTTTGAAAAATGAACTTAATAATCAGTGGTTTCTAGACATGGGAGATAAATATTCTATTCAAATGTCTCTCGCTGTTATCCAATCATGCATTGACCGTAAACAAAAACAAACGATGGAAACTTACCAACAATATGAAAATAAATTTATTCAAGGAAATAATCTTTGTGAGACTAATCAAAATTCATTACTTGGATGTATGAAAATTGGACTAACAATTTATTATTCTATTAAACAAACAGATAAATTGGCATCATCATTATTAGCATTAATTCAACCTGAAATATTAACTGTAAATACTGTTCAACAAATATTAGAATTATCAATATCTTATTTAACAGCTCAAAATATTAAATCAAATAAAAAAATACTTCAATTTACATTTGGACTAATAGAAAATACTATTCCATTCAAAATAGAAAAAAAATTTGTTCTTGAAAATTTTAAATTACTTAATGATATGTTTTGTGTTGTTTCTCCAAATGATGTTTGTTTTAGTATATCATTTTAAATGTATATAAGTGTTATTCATTTAATTAGTCAAATGCCCGTGCAATTAGAAAGATTCAGGAAAAATATATTCGTTCATTATTTATTATGTATGGAGGAGTAACTCGTTTTGATGAAGACATTGAACAGCCTTCTCCATCATTATCTTCACATTTACAATTTTTTAGTTCAAATGGTTTAAGAAGAGAACGTGATAGAGCAATGTCACTTTCAGTAACTAGAGGAACTAAATTGAGTTCCTCAGATAAACTAAAGTTTACTCCTTGTAATGATGATATTTTTGTGAATCCTCAAAATAATTTCCATGGAAATACTCCTATATCAGTTTTAAGTAGGATAACAAAGAAAGAAGATAAAGAAATCATTGAAATAAAAAATAATTCAAATGATAGTATTAATTCTCATGAAAATACAAGTTATCATTCAAATGAACCTCACGACACATTCCTTGGAGAATTTGTTTCTGATGATGAAGAAACATCTTCATCAGAAGACAGCTCTGTTGATAAAGAAATTAAATCTCCAAAAACACCAAAAGAAGGAGAAAGTACAGAAGAATATATTGGACAAATGAGTGAAGAAAAGTCTACATTAACTAAAGGTGGAAGTACACAAGAACTTCAAGTTCAAAAAGAATTAGCTCAAATGAAACGAAGAACAGCAAGACAAGATAGTGTACTTGAAAAAGAAAAGTTACTTGAAGAAGATTTACCAATTCATTTAGCAATACTAAGTTTATTAATAAAAAACAGTTCATTCGATCATATAAAGTCTCCATTTTTATCAGAACAAATTAAGAAATCCCCATGGAAAGAATTAAGAGGGAAAAGACCAATGGTTCTTAGAATGGAAAAACATATTCTTGAATTAACACGTTATTGGTTAGATAAATGTCCTGAAACATGTAATCCTACAGTAATCAATAAATGGAATATTGATTTTGTTGGTTGTTTAAGTTATAATGTATTTTCTGATGATAAAACATTATTTATTACATCATTACAAATACTCATTATTTGTATACTCAAATTTAGAGCAAATTTAAAAACTGAAATTGCATTATTATTAAATTCAATAGTTTTCTTCTATATTTTATCACCCTTACCATTATATTCATATAAACAAATAGTTATATCTGAATTAGTAAAGTTATGTCAAGACTCTCAATTTTTAAATGATATATTCTTAAATTATGATTGTGATAAGTTTGGACAAAATATCTTTGAAGAATTATTAAATACTATTTGTTTTATTCTTACACCTGAATTTAAAAATGCTTCTATAGAAGAAATTCCTATTAAAATTCTTGCAGATATGAGAAAAGAATGTTTATCATTAGTTCATATTATCATAGACTCAATTAAAAAATTAATGATTCAGGTAAATAGATTAGAAAGTATTGGAATGGTTGAATTAGATAATGGAATTCCTGTTAAAACAAACTCAACATTAATTTTAAAATGTTTAATTGATAGAAAAATTAAAGTTGATATTGTAAAAGCTAAACAATTATTCAAAGAAAAACCAAATGATGGAGTTTCATATATGATTAAATCAAATTTATGTTATAATGACCCAATGTCTATTGCTCAATTTCTTAAAAAATTAGAAGGTATTGATAAAATTGCATTAGGTAAATATCTTACTTCTAATAAAGACTTTAATAAAGAAGTCTTTAAAGAATACATGAAATTAATTGATTTTAATGGACTAAGTGTTGATGAAGCATTAAGATTAATGTTTAATTTATTTGTTATGCCAGGAGAAGGTCAAGTAGTTGACCGTGTAATGGAAATGTTTGCCTATAGATATGCTGAGTGTTGGAGTGATAAAATGAAAGAGATGAATATTACATCAAATCAAATATATTTCTTAGCTACAACAATTATTTTCTTATCAACTGAAACACATAATTCAAATGTCAAAACAAAAACAATGGATAGTTATGAGAAATTTAAACAAATGGTTGAACAATTTAATTTTACATTACCTGATAGTTATCTTCAACCTTTATACCAAAGTGTTACTCAAAATGCATTTTTGATTCCAGAACAAAAAGAAAAAGTTGAAAATGATAATAAATATATAATTACTATTAAGAATAATCCTCATCAAAGACCTCAAATTTTATTGTTAAAAAGTCAAATTACTGAAGCTAAAATTGATGAAGATACTGTTGAGTCATTATCCATTTCTAATAAAGATATTCTTCATGCACTTATAGAAACTATGGTTCCAATAGAATTAAAAAGTTTAAAAATTGCGTTTGATACATATAATGATATTACAGATACTTTAACTTATTTAAAAGAAATGCTTGACATTTGTATTGTAATGGATTGTAGAGAAATGACTGAACTTATTATTAAAACTATGTGTGAATGGTGTGTGTATTATGATTTTAATAGTTGTAAATCATGTAATATTCAGGTTACTAAAATGATAATAGATATTAGTAATTCATTACAAAATAAATTACATGGAGGATGGAAGTATTTGTTTATTGTTCTTTCAAGATTTGAACAAATGAACTTAATTGAACATCAAACTATTTCAACATTAAAAAGTATTCCAAAAAATACTAGAAAATTATTTTTTATGGAAGTCCAACATCAATTATATCAACCAAAAGATATTAAATTACCAACAAACATTTCAAATGATATACTTAATTTAAAGAAAGAATTAAAAATTGAAATTGAAACAATACCATTAATATTTGATTCATTAAAACTATTAAACGAAGAAAGGTTTTGTGAAATTATCAAATGTCTAAGTAGCAGTGCCTTAAATGAATTAAATTGTATCACTCCACCAATGTTATTATTAAATCAATTTAAATTAATTGTTGAAGGATTTATTGAAAAGAATAAAGAAATAAATAATAAAGAAACAATTGAAATTATAAGAAATTTCTTATTACAATGTATGCTTCATCCACATGAAATTATTTCAATGAAAGCTATAGAAATATTTTTTAGATTTTGTGAATTGGATTTATTTAAAGAAT